GCCAATTTGTACCTTTAGGTCGTCCAACGAGAAAGGGGAGAAGGAATGGGTGATTGTTAGAGACTCGTATCCTTTTTATGTGTCATTTGGCAAAAGAGAGATTTATGTATATACGCGAATAGAGAGGATTTGTCACATTTGTATCAGACGTCATGGTATTCAAGCTCTATCGATTGTTATGTTTACCAAGATTATCCTGTTTGCAATGTGCAGTTTAATCAATATTATCCTTAACGGCTGTATTATTGCACGATTTGTAATAGTTACATAGGTTTCTGTAGCGATATTTCTTCTCGCACACCTGCCGATGTATTCCTACTTGACAGTGACTTCAAATGTGAGATGTACGAGAAAACTGGGTTATCGGGAATGTTCCAAATGCATGATCGTGTCAACGTCGAAAATTCGTCTCGACGGATTGAACTCAAGGGAGACTCTCGTATGTTAAAGGAATTTATGCTGAGCGTCAGCAGACTGAAGCAATCATCACCGTGGGTCAAACAACATCGGCACAGGTCATATGCCCCTATTAGAAAAGCCGCAAAAGTTAAATGGTACATCGATGGGAAGGACTATTTCTTTGCCGTGAGCGAGGCTATTGCTGCTGCCAAACATGAGATTTATATTGAAGATTGGTGGCTATCACCGGAATTGGTGAGTATGAGATCGCACATGTTTATTGTAGTCGCAAAGGTGAGAAGGAACACTATTAAGTTACCATAATATTTATACCCACAGTATCTCCGTCGTCCGCCAAAAGATAATGAAGACTTTCGTCTGGATAGGTTGCTGAAGAGAAAGGCCGAAGAAGGGGTTATGATTTATATCGTTGTATACAAAGAAGTTTCTTATGCCTTGACCCTTGATTCTCATCATACCAAATTTTACTTGCAAGGCCTACACAAGAATATTAAAGGTAACACACGTTATTAATAAGGTTAATGTTCAGTGTTACCCCATTTTTTCTGATAAACCTCCCCCCGTGAATTTAGTTCAAAGACATCCAGATCATGGACCAGACGGAATTATGTTCTGGGCGGTAAGTTCAGTGGTGATAATATTTAAGTGCGATACGTTTCCTTTGTTACTCACTAAAGTTTTGTTCTTTTCTAGCATCATGAGGTGCTATTTACTACCAACAAATATCTTGCAAAACAGTTTCTTCAATTTGTTACTTACGGTGTTTCTATAGAAAATGGTCGTGGTGGACTCTCGGTTGGCTTTCATTGGTGGGCTCGATTTATGCTTTGGCAGATATGATACTCATACGCATCAACTAGTTGATTACCATCCAACTGGTAAACAACCAACTATATGGCCGGGACAAGATTACTCTAATCCACGTATTAAGGACTTTGTAAATGGTAGCTTGAAAAAAAAATATGTCGACCGATAACAATGTTCGTATACTCACCTTTGTTTAATTTGTTAGTTAAGGACTTTGCTGCCTCGCTCGTCGACAAAACGAATGTTCCGCGTATGCCATGGCATGACGTATCCGTAGGAATGGT